TATCAGACAGTGTTTTGCTGCTATTCATAAGGTTTTATGGCCAATTCTTTGAGAAGTGGATGGTCTCTTCCTTCTTCTGAGTCTGTCTAAGCCCAGAAGCTCCGCTGAAACCTCTCCACCCTGGGTAACCCTGCTGGCATTTTGCAACACAGTGGCATAGCCTCCAGCCTCACAGCAACACATAAGCCACCAGAGGACAACAAACTGACAGACAAGTTCGTCTCCCTTAATTGTTCCTAACCCCTCTGCACCTGCCTACCTCAGGCCCTGGCCTTAATATGGAGCCACACTCAAGCGAAGAGCAGCTTCCAAGTCTCCCTTGTAGGCATATGGCTATTATCCTATCACCAACAGCATTGTACTTCAGGATGGATCTTGAAACATTCTTTGTGATGATGAATGTCACACCATTCCTCTTCAATTTGTCATTCCTGGCATGGTAGATCAAATGGTTGTCTGATTCAAAATGGCCAAAACAAGTCCATTTCAGCTCACTCAAAAACTCACTGCCATCAAGTCAATTTCGACTCATAGCAACCCCTCCTTGGGTTTCCAAGGTGGTATCTCTATGGAGGTAGATTGTGCAGTCTTCCTTTTGAGGACTGGCTAGTGGGTTTGAACCACCAGCTTTCTGGTCAGCAGTCAAATGCCTTAGGCAATACACCACCAGAGCTGCCATTAATGCCTAGGATATTGATCTTTATGTGTTCCGTTTCATTTTTGACAGCTTCCAATTTTTCTAGATTCATACTTTGTACATTCCATATTCCAATTATTAATGGACGTTTGCAGCGGTTTCTTCCCATGATCTGGGAAATCCACTGTGCCATTTCATGCTGGTCTCCCGGTCCTGCTGCCCCCTCACACTTTCTCCAGTGTCAAAGCTCTGTCTCCTAGGTCAGTAAAGTTCTCAGTGCAGGGCCCCCAGGTCCAAAGGACATGCTCCGCTCCTGGCTCTTCTTTCTTGATGGTAATGAGGTCTTCTCACTTCTGGGAGTGGCTCCCTTTAAACCCAGCAGGATGACAAACTGAAGTAATAGGCTGGAACCCATGGTCAGGATCAGAAAGCATGTAGACAAAGTCTCCCTTCTTCAGTGCAAGACAGCTCTCTCAGCTCCTCTCCACTATGCAGGGCGCCTCTCAGCCCCCTCAAGACAGGCTCCTCTCAGCCCCCTCAGAACAGGTCTCCTCACTCAGCCCCTGGTCCCTGCTCGGGTCTGGCCTCAGCCCTGCTCAATCAAGGGTTACAAAGCTCTTTAACTCTGCCCAACAAGTGCTGAAGGCACCCCACTCTGGTAGCAAGTTTCATGTTTGAAGCTGCTCAGCTCTCTTACTCCATTGGTCAGTGAGCCTGGCTCTACAAATAAGTGCTCACAGGCACTCTACTCCACTAAAAAGCCTCAACTCTCATTCTTACCAGAAAATTCAAGTCTTGTGTTAAATTTCCATGCTCACTGTAACTACCCCACTCCATGGGCTGGGAAGCCTACCACACTGACTCGTGCCAGTCTCCTGCGTCTGCTGCTGCCATTTCTCTGCCACTGCTTCTTGCAGCCATCTCTGGTATTAACAATTCTTCCTCTCTGTCTCCTGGGTCTAGGAGGTTCTGAGTTCAGGGACCCTAGGTCTAAAGGACATGGTCCACTCTCAGATCTTCTTTCTTGATGGTAGTTAGATCCTCTTCTCACTTCTGATGTTAACTCCCTTTATGCTTAGCAGGATGGCAAAACTAACCAATATCCTTGTTAGGGTTCCATATACCTTATTTGCATGATCCCATCCATCTCTACAAGGCTTCTATGCACCTTATTTGCATTGTTAGCAAGCTGTCCGATCCTCTTAGTGGGCCACAAGCACCTTATTTGCATTGTCTCACCCAATCATTTTGTGGGATGCACAAGACCATGCGTGGCTAGAAGGGCCATATTAAGTAATTCACAGCACCACAAGATATTACTTCTAAACTTACATCCAAAATTGTAAAGCAAAGTGTGCATATGAGTGGACATTTGGGAGTCAAACAGAGAGAACCCTTGAAGAAGTAAATCAGGAATTTGGGAAAGAAAGTGGTCAGGGGAAGAAAATTACAGGATGGAGACAAATCCGTGAACAGCAGAGGTCTCAAACTCAGATGCCTACAGGAGCCAAGCAAAGAACAGGAATGGCTGAAATGTCTGCATGTGAACAATAGGGAATGCTAGGGACTGTGGCATATTCAGTCCCCATCTGAAGGGGTGGCTTCTTCAGAGCCCTGGCCTGGGGCATCTGATTTTTAGGAGAACCAGAAACTTCAGATCTTACGTTAAATTTCCAGATTTGTAAACATCAGTGACTAATTCAAAAATTTTAAATAACTTTTCAGGCCAAAAGAACCCATCTACAGTACCCCTGTGGGCTGCCAATATGCAGCCTCTGGTGAACAGGAAGGTGAGACTCAGACCTGGACCCCATCCAAAGAAGTCTGAACACTGATGGACACAAAATATGTTATTTATTGTCAATTTCTGCAAAGACACATTTAAGCAACAAAATATACATTTGTCAACGTTTTAGAATTTGTTTTATACATTAACAAATACAATGTGCTACCATAGCAATAAATTAAATGTACACTATTTACATTACATAGGCAATTGGGGTCTACAAATTACCTCCTCACTAAGAGGAAAGAAAGAAAAATCATCATATGGATCATCATTTCCAGGCTACACTTCTTAGATTCTATGACACAGAGGAATCTCTTCACACTTAAACGTCTGCACTCCCCAAGCTGGAGTGTCAAAAGATAACGTCCATACAAGGGAGGCAGCACACATGCTAGGGAGCGGGAAGAGAGCATTGGCCTTCCAAGCAAAAAATGTCACGAAATCAAAGACAATGGCAATTCAATTGCGGTCTTCCAGCCAAACACCCCCTTCCTACAACAGGTAAGGCACAGGACAGAGCCAATGCCCCAACCGCCTCTCTGCCCTTAGCAGGACTCTGCTGCCTTTGGCCCTAGTGAGGATTGGCTTCTTCCCCCCAACAGGACTCATGTGGGTGTCCCCAGTGAGCACCTGGCCCAGCTGAAAGAAGGGAGACATGGGGTTGGGTAAGCAAGGGGCTAGTGATAAAACATCGGAGCTTGGCAGAAGTAGACCCCATCCAGCCCCCCAGCCAGGTTGCAGAGACAGCCTTGGCCAATGTCTACTGACTCACCCTTGCCTTTGAGAAAAGGGCAGCTAGAGGCTGGGCAAGGAGCTGTAGGGTTCTGAGCCTGGCTGCCTGTCCTGGTCCCTACTGGCCACCTGCAGCCATAAGATCTACCTGAACTTCCACTCATTCCCCCACAAAGACCTGTCTCTATTGGCTTAGAAATGAACAAAGAAGGTAGTGTTTGTATTGGCACCTTAAAGGGTCAGGGTAAGGAAGTAAGAGAGGCTCATGTCCAGCCTCATCATCTAAGTATTTATTAACCACCTGTGTTTAAGAATCAGGGAGAGAAGAGTTTTCCTTCACCACTTTTTTTTTTTTTTTTTTTAATTAAAGTGATGATTGGTTAACTGCACCTTTGTCTTGGCCCCCATCAACTTTAGAGACCGGGTCACCGAGGTGACTGCCTGAGCCAGAGAGGCCTTGCTCATTGGAATCACGTTTCCTCCTTATTTCCAGTCTGCATCCAAAACCCCAAGACCCTCACTGAAAAACCCAAGAGAACCGACCCACTGGTAGAAAGAACAGAGACAGAGCCCTGCCTCACCACTCTCCCCACCCCCAGCATTCTTAACTACATTGCCTCTTGGCCAGGGCTAAGCACCAGCTTAATGGCTTCTCCAAAGCCCAGGACTCCAAGAAATGTAGCCACTTGCTCACCAACATGCAGATGGTGCAGAGGAAAGGACCCTGGGTTGTAGGTTCTAACCCCACCCTTGCCACTAGCTGGTTGTGTCTCCTAAAACAAGTTATGTCCCCTCCCTGGGGCTGAGTTTTCTGGTCTGTATGAGGACTAGATGATATATAAGGTTCCAGAAGACTTGGGCATCAAGATAATCTTGACAAGGCTGAACCACAGAATATTTTCCAAGAAACACTATTTTACATACATTAGCATAGACAGAATTTCCAGCAAAAACATTCCATCTAGAGTTCTTTCTGCATCTGCTTTTAAGTATCAACTTAGCTGGAGGCATGTGGGTACCCTGCTGCATCTGGAAAGTCTAGTTGCTTCAGTGGATCTGACAATCCCCAGAGCCAGAGAGTGCCCAGGAGATGACTTTTTTATGGAGATCATAAATGAAAATGCCTCAAATTCAAGTGTGCGCACCCTCTGAACAAGTCAAGTCACAAGGCCCTACATGTAGCTTGAGCAAACTTTTGTGGCCCAAGCCTGGAGTAGCAGAGGGAAGATTTTATGGATCAGAACAGGCACAGGGAGAGCGTGGGGCAACAGCCCTCTAGAAACCCAAGCTGCCTGCCCTCTGGTCCAGTGGGGCGAGGGCAGACTGAGCCCCCATTCTTGTTCTCCTCCAGCCCTCCATATGGGGACCTCAGGGGGCTGGTAGTGTATACCCTAAAAGCTGTAGGATGGACCTTCTAGAGATAATGAGGCAAGGCCCAGAGGAAGGGACATTTAGGGTCCTGCCCAGAGCATCCCAATAGCAAACAGAAGGTGGGACTATGTTCAGGGCTGTGCATTTTAAGGAGCACACCAGTGGCTCCCAGTTTCTTTGGACACACACCACCATCCTGCCCACCTGAAAACAAAAAGAACTGAAAACAAAAGAACCAGTTGCCACCGAGTTGACAGCTCATGGTGACCCCACGTGTACAGAGTAGAACTATTCCATAGGGTTTTTAAGGCTCTGACCTTTTGTTCTGCACCACTCAAGGACTCCACCCACCACTCAGAGGCAGGAGCAAAGCCTGCCCAAGAGGTAGAAGCTGCAGTGGGCAACAGCTAGAGCTGTGGGGGGAATGGGACAGAGTAAGGACCACCCGAAAACCTCCAAGAGCCCCCAGCCAACCATGCAACACAACATAACCACCAAGCAGCTGCAAATATAAGCTACCCAAAGGGGCAAGTCAGAAGTCTGGACTGTGTTTTGAAAAAAATGCAGTTTGACCTTTCAAGCTAACAAAACACTGCCAGAACCCGTGGGCCTCATTCCAGCAGTGGGTGCTGCTGCATTGATTTTGAACAGGGCTCAATCGAGCTGAACAGCTCTTCTGTGGATCTTCTAACTGGAATAGATGTTCTGGACTAGCACTTGACATGCATACATTTCCCAATGGGGTAAGGGGTGAGGTCAACCCGGCCTGCAGATAGGATCCACCAATAGCCATTTGAGTGGTTACAAAGGATCATGATTTTGAGCTCCTGACAAAAGCAATGGAGAAACTGTCACAACATCAGTCAAAAAAGTATGTAACATTCGTATGCCTCAGCTTGGGAATGAGCCCAGTTCCCTCTGTAAATAAAGCATTCCATTGGGAGTACTTGTCCTCTACTCATTAGAGCAGGTAAGCCCAGGGCTTTGCCCTGGCGGCTATGCCACTGAGGGACCAGATGCAGTGAAGATGACCACCTCCTCCAAGGGTCTTACTCTTCAGACTCTGTGTTTCATTTGGAGGACACGCCACCTTAAAGCCCACCGTGGCCAGGCAGCAGAAACAGCCTATCACACCCCAGACTGGGAAGGATGGGAAGCTAGGGGGCGGCTGCTCAGAGAGTGAACTGGTTTAGCCCAGCAAAGGTGGCTGTAGCTGAGGGTGCAAGTGGCACGGGGCACCTGCACCACACTCAGATGAAGCCAGGCTACAGATCTCCCACAGATTTAACCGCTTACAGACCAGAGTTAAAGAGGGCAGGAAGAGGAAGGGGGACAGAGCCCAGACACAGTGAAGGGACAGTAGCTGGAAGCAGCTCCCAATGCAGTGCTGACCCCTACAGATGCCAAGGACATAAATCACTAAAGAATATTTGCTTCCTCCCCAAACCTAAGTGCAGCTCCCCATACACTGGTCTGACAAAACCCTGACAAACCCCCACTTGCCTCTCCTGCTCCTACCTGAGTAGTGGATGGGTAAAGTATTTTTGCCTTCCATGAACCCCCATCCCCAGTACTTCCCAGCTGAGCCCTCAGGCCCTGAGGTTTCCCTCCCCATGAACCCAAGCACCCCCTCTCCCTGAATTCCTTCTCACTCCTGCCTGCTCATCCCTTCATGGGAAAAATAATTTGTTCCAAGGGGAGACACTGATGTGTGGCCTCTCTCACAGCAACAATCATTAGGAGCCTACGTGAAATTGGATGGGACAGAAATTTCCAGCTGCAGTCAAGGAAGCACGCAGCACCCCTCCCATAAATGCCCAGCATCAACTGGCCAATCCCCTCTCAAGATAGATGGGCAGCAGGGATGGAGGAGCCTTGGGCCTGACATCAGCTGATGGGTAAGAAGTTCTTAGCACAGAAGCAAACAGACATTTCAAAACCGCAGAGATGTGGGAACCACAGAGCTAATTTTTACCAGGACACCATCCTGATGGCACAGATCTTGGCTCCTGGAAAAGTGCCCCCCACACACACACCACTAGATGCATTTGCTGTGGCCGCAGTCTACTGTGTCCAAGAAGGCACTGTGACCAAGGACACACAGGGATGCCCCTGCTGTTGATCTCTGCCCCCCACCTCACCTCTCTGCCTCTGTGGCTGATGAGCCCCCCAGTTCCTGACAATGTCTTAGCACCCTGATCCTTCCTTGTCCGATTCTCTTTTCCTCTGCAGACAAAACAAGATGACAAATACCCAGATAGACGTTACGCTGGAGGAGACCAGGAGGAGGGGCCTTTGGGGAGGAGGCCTTGTCCAGAGGCGGAGAGGTGCTTGCAAGGTGTCTTGGTAAAGGAGTGGAAAGGGATGTGGCCAGACACAGGCACTGGGACGGACAGCTGGTCTGATGGGCAGGTGGCTGAATGGAGAGTGGGCCTGTGATGGTCAGAGCAGTGGACGGCACCCCCGAATGGCTGGAATAGGAGCCTTCTCCAAGACAGAATCGAGGCTTCCCTGGAGAAGACAAGAGGTGGGAGATGATGACCAAATGTTCAGTAAAAAAAGGAAGAAAGAACACAAACCCTGATGGTGCAGACCCCAGTGGGCAAGGGGGTGGGGAACAGATATGCCCATGGCTATAGCCCACTGAGTAGATCTAGGATAGGGAGGGAGCCAAGTACAAGGGTGCTGGCTTTCTGTAACTAGAGCACTCTTTGTCACCCCAAGACGTGGGGCACAAACATCTATTCGGTAAACTGAGGTATCTGGGAGTTAAAACAGAAAGCCAACATTCCCATTTTCTCTTCTGCTTTCTCATAGATTAGGTTTACGTAAAGTGGCATCACCTTTGCCCCTCCTCTTGATTCTAACTGTCATTCATACCCCTGGGAGCCCCATGGTTGGAAGAAGGGTGGGGGCAGGGGGCAGATGTGTATCTAGCAACATCACTAACAGGAGGACACGTCTAGATGGTGAGGTGGACCCATGCTCCTTTCTACTGAAAACCACATGATCCCTGGACAAGAGGTCTACCCTGGGGTTGTCCTTCACAATGTTAGGTGGGGCAGGGGCACCTCTGGGCACAAGAAGGAGGATACCTGCCCTTGCCAAGGACCCCAGGGATATTTGGCTAGGAGGAGGGAAGGGCTGGCTGCCTGAGAGCAGAGAGACAAGAGGGCAAAGGGAGGCATCCCTCCCACTGAGAAAGGAAGGTGGGCTCTGGGTTGTTGCCATTTTCTATCTGCTGGGACCAGGCTCCATCCAGTGGGAGAGGGAGCAATCTAGTGTGTGGCCCAATCCTATTGTCCAACCCTTTCCATCTGCTCCCAAGGCCATCCTGCCCTCTCTTCCCCATTCAGACCTGGGACCTATCATCCTAGAGGCTTCAAGGACTATATTTTTATTCCTTTTATAATTTTATAAGCTAAAATTATTTTATTTTATTATGCTTTACTTTTATCTATTCTAGGGAGCTCTAGAGGAATAGTAGTTAAAGCACTTGGCTGCTAACCAAAAGGTTGGCAGTTCAAACCGACCAGCCCCTCCATGGGAGAGAGATAAGGCTGACTGCTTCCATAAAGACTTACAGCCTTGGAAATCCCACCAGGGAAGTTCTACTGTGTCCTAAATTGACACTGAGTCAGAAACAACTAGATAGCGGTGAGTTTATTATCTTATTCTACTAGCTGGCAGGATTGCTCTGGTCATTCTCAGAAGGCCACTGGTACCCTGATCTTAAAGGGATACACCTCCCCTCAAAGCCACAGCAGGCCACTCAACCCACCTTTAACAGTCGAAGGACTCCTTTTTCACATTAGTGACCCTGTTTCAGGAAAAATTTGTACAAGAATGTTTAATATCCAGCAATGTAATCCCACCAATGGCAACTCCTATGCACTCAGATCTCAACATTCTAGGGAGCTCAGGAAGGGGAATGTTATAAGCTGATCGTTAACGACAGCCCTTAAAAAAAAAGTAAGCTTACAATTAAATAAATTATACTAAAACAAAGATAAATAGACTCAAAATGTATCACTCCAAATTATTTTACTACATTTGACTATTTTCTATCCTCTTAAGGTTGTCTGGAGTCCCTGAGTAGTGCCAATGGTTAAACACTTGGCAGCTAACTGAAAGGTTAGGGGTTCGAGTCCACCCAAGGTGCCTCAGAAGAAAGTCCTGCCAATCTACTTCTGAAAAATCAGCCACTGAAAATTGTATGGAGCGCAGTTCCCCTCTGACACAGATGGGGTCACTATGAGTCAGAGCTGACTCCCAAACTAGCTGTTTTTTTTTTTTTTTATGTTAAGGGTATTTGTGTCTATTGTGTCTGGCACTGAATAATGATGAGCTGTGCACCCCGTAGCAACAGTCACAGCTCCTTTCTGAGCATGGCTCCATCCCAGGTGAGGCTCCAACACAGGAGGTGATGCAGAGGTGGCTGGTGATATCCAGGCTAATGCTTGAACCATGTGGGGACAGACAGCACCCCCAGTTCTGACCCCAGCTCTCCTTCATGCCGCATCGGTATAATGTATGAGCTTTCTCTTCATCCAGCCCCCAGAAGGGAAGATTTCTTTGAAGGCAGTTGGATCACGGACTATGGAGGCTGCTCCCCTTGCTACTGACACTCCCCCATGTCCTTACCGCACTGGAGCTGGCATGGCTGAGCTTATCAAAGCGGAATTTCAGGTTTGACCTTGGGGAGTTTCTGCTTTTGGCATCTAAGAAAAAGAAGGATGTCTGTGAGAAAGGAGTGGAGCTATAGAAGTCACTGGGGCTGTGTGGGGGCACTGGGCAGGGAGGTGGGAAAAGGACACCTCTTCCTCTCCACTAGACACTGTCCACTGGGCTTTCTGGAGGAAGCCAGGTGGCCTCTGAGCTGCCAAGACGGTTTCCTCACCTGTAAAGGGGGGTAACGATACAAGTTCCCTGATTTGTTGGCATGCTGGGCTCATATGGACTCTGAGGGATAGCTCAAATGTTCAGAAAGCTGGTTGTTAATACAGTCATTTTGAAAAATTAAACTATACAAGCTTACACTTAAATAAATTATATTAAGAAAAAGGCAAATATACTCAAATCCATCACTTCCAAATCATTTTATTACATTTTACTAGTATCTATGTTCTTAAGGTTATTTATGTCTATTATAGCTCTGGTAGCATAGTGCCTAAGGAATTTGACTGCTAATCAGAAACCTGGTGGTTCAAACCCACCAGCCACTTCTCAGAAGGAAGACTGGGCAATCTACTTCCGTAGTGATACTGCCTCGGAAACCCAAGGAGGGGTCGCTATGAGTCGGATCCGACTCAACGACAATAAGTTTGGTTTTTTTTTGATATATCTGCGTGGTGGTAATACTATGTAACAGTGTGCTACTGGACCTCTCTCCCAAGTTCACATTCCGTGATTATCATGCTGGTAGCCTGGAATCCACCATGGTGGGAGAATTTACACCACAGACATCAGCAGATTTCAAACCAGGGGTTCCACCCAGCACTGTGAGTGCCTGCCTCTGTGACCCACTCATCTCCCCTCTGGACGTCAGGGAGCCAAGCGTGCAATGAGGGAAGGTCAGAGCATCTGAGATTATAAAAGACAGAAATGGCAGGCTCTCCTAGGCCACCCCCCACCCCTAAGCCTGCCTCCCCCCACACTCAGCTGAACAGCCTAAAGCACGTTTCCAGTTCTCCTCACGTCCCACCCTAGTCCCAGGGGTACCCAGCACCACTTCCATGAGGGTAAAAAGGCAGATCCTCAGGTGTAAATACGGGGGGCAGTGGCCTAAGGGTGGTGCGATTAGCACTGAGGCAGGAGTTACTAGGCCCATTCCAGATCCAATTCTGTTCTGTGTGACCTTCAGCAAATGGCAGGCACTCTAGAAACCTTCCTTTACTCAAAACCTTATTTATTTAAAAAAAAAAAAAAAAAACCTATTTATTTTGCTATTAGCACCAACTAGGAGCCAGGCTTGAAAACAGGTTTTTTCAATATTTAATTAAGCCTCATTTAAAAAAAAAAAAAAAGGACTGTGTATTATTAGTCCCTTTCACAGATAAGGAAACTGAGGCTCAGCGAGGTAAGCCTGTCCATGCTGCAGCTAGGGTGAGAGCCCAGCTCAAAGCTGCCTGCCCACAGGAGGTGGAACAAGAGGCAGTATGTGCCCAGCACCCTCAACTGGGAAACACAGTTGCACTGATGCAAAGAATGGATTTGCTTTTTGGTTACCATCTGCCATTTATCCTCTGACATTGCATCTTCCCTCTGCCACCTCACTGCGAGAACCCCAGAAGCATTTTGGCTCAAACCACCCTGTTGGCCTGATGGCTCCTTCTGTGTTTCTATCATTTAGTACAGGGTTTCTCATCCTCAGCCTATTGGCATCAGGACCAAATAATTCTGTGTGGTGAGGGCTGTCCTGTTTATTGTAGGATGCTTGGCAGCCTCTCTGGCTTCTACTCACCAGATGCCAACAGCACTTCCCCCACCACAATCATGACAATCAAAATGTCTCCAGACATTGCCAAATGGCCCTGGGGCGCAAGATTGCCCCTGGTTGATTGAGACTATTATTTAATTTCTATTATTAAGCAAACACTAATGGAACCATTTTTTAAGTCTCTTGCAAGTGTTAAATTTATTGAATCCTCATGAAACCAATCAGTGGGGTAGAAACGACAATTTTCCACCCTCTCCCTCGTTTTTGCTCAAGAGAACTGAAGCTCAGAGGCCAAGTAACTTGCCTAATGTCACATAGCTAGTAAGTGGCAGAGCCGGAGTCTGGCCCAGCAGTCTGGCTCCAGGGTCCTGCACTTGGCCCCTGTCGTGCTGCCTTCCTTGAGGTGGCGACCAAGGCTTCTATTTCTGGGTACCCGCAGCCCCCTGTAATATGTATTGCAAAGGTATAACTGGATACCCCTCCAACTCTTTGCCCTCTCCCCTGCCAATCCCTCTTCCTCTGCCCTAGTGCACAGATCACAGGCGTCAGAAAACCAGAAGGCACAGCTGAACCTGCTTTTACCTCCCTGACAGGTCTGAATTCACTGCCTTCTCCCCACTGCC